GCTTCTCTCTATGTACACATGCAGGACTCTGCCCTTGACTATAACTCGCCCCTCGGAGGGAAGAGCATGGTTTTCTTCAAAGACAGCTAAAACCCACCACAACACAAAGGGCTGTAGAGCACATTCTCTGTCTTAAAGACCATCTTAAAATATGTAAATCCTGACAGTGAAAACAGTTTGATATAATTCTAAGCATCTTTTTTTAACAATTAGAAGGCTTATTAGGGGAGTTAGTAGGTTAGGACATGTCAGGAGCAGCAAACAATAAAGATGCGAAGTCATTGCTCTCCTCAGATCAGCGAACTGTGAGCAGTTTATTTTAAAATCAGGCCCCATGCTATGATTTTCTTTTTTTTGTAGATGAACTCTCAATTTTATTTTGGATAGCACAACAATTTGCACTTCTGGATCAAAAGTCAGCTCCATTACATTGGGGGGGGGGGGCCTGCACAATTTACTGTAGACCAGAGGTCTGTTTAGGACTTAAGAAAATGATCATTTGAAAAACCAACACACCAGAAGTATAACAGACCTGACGGCAGTTTTCATATTACATTGGAGGAAATAGCTGGATGATAATGGAACAGCTGATACTGGAACAGCTCATGGATAACATCCATGAGATAGTGGAACAGCAGAGAAATCTTGGGGCTTTTCCCCCCTTTATATAATAAAAGCAGAAAGGATTGTGTTGGGGAAAAAATAATCTTTGTACACCAGCCATCGAGTCACTTCAATAACTCACTCTCCTCATTCTGTGTAAGGATGTTCCGATGGCCTTAGGGAATCTATAACACAGTAAATCAAAACCTTGTAATCTTCATGGAAGCCGGTCACCTGCCCTTTCATCTGGTGAGCCACTGGGTGAGCATGAACTTTAGGATCATCGTCCTGTGCAAGCTTTTCATGCCACTCGGGGCCCTATAGAAGGGTGGCTGTGTTTTGCTGGGTGGACGTGGGCTCCCGGGAACCCTACAGGACAGAGAGGAACTGCCCCTAGGTTTTCCTAGGCCGAAATCTTCACAGTAGATCACCTTGTTATTTCTCCTACAGAGCGGCCGGTGGCTTTGAACCGCCAACCTTTTAGTGAGTGCAGAGGATCAAAGCAGATGCACCTATCTTGGCTTTTTACAAAGAAATGATGTGCAAGGCCATCCCAGCACGCGATTCTGAAGCAATCCCCTACGTTAACAGCTGGAGGAGTGTTTGAAATAATTATCCTGAGAAGCTGAGCTGCTTTCAAAACGTTATTGTTTTAAAACTCTACAACCTGAAGCTGTTTCTCAGGAGCAGATGCAGAAGCAGCAGCTCTGAGCTGCGGTCTGCAGTGGCCTGGGGCGCTCCTGCACTGCTTCTTCTCCCGTTCACGTTCTCGGACAGAGCCTGCGCTGGCGCTGAGGTGCCATGCACAGAACATACATCACTTACCTGCAAGGCACATCCAGATGGGTCCACTAACACGCCTTCCTGTGCGTCTAAAGAAAGGGAAGCAGAGAGAAGTGGGAAGTCAACCCCGGGATCCCGCCTGCTTGAGGGAAACCCCAGTTAAAATGATTTGGGTCCACTGCCCCTGCTTTGTCAGAGTAAGCAGCAGTCCAGCAGTTTCCCAGAGGCATCTGAGTTCTGCAGGTACAGGGTCGTTCTCTCACTCCCTCAGTCGCCTCAGATTTCACCCTGCACTGCTGGACGCCTGGACAGACCTCACCTAGACAACGAAGAGGCAAAAGGCCTCCAACTGCAGGCCCTCAGGTAGCTGTAGGGTGTGCACAGAGCGCTAAAGCACCGACCAGGAGGCGGGCTAGGGGTCAGTGTGGCCGCGGAGTCAAGGCCAGTTCCGGGAGGTGGAGTCTGCAGCCGCCTGCAGGTTCCGGGACAGCGCAGCTACCCTCGGGTTAGGCCCGTAGACGGCCCGCCCCTCCCCCGGCCCCGCCCACCGCTCGGCCGCCGATTGCTCGAGCCTGATTGCCAGTCCACGCGCCGACGGCCGAGCGGGTCGCTCCAACTCCGCGGCCCCGCACCGCGCCGGCCTCGCGCCACCTCTCGCGGCGCTCAGTGCCCGAGTCCAGGACCCGGCCCGATGGCGCCCCAGCGGAGGGGCGCGCCCAAGGCCCCTGAAGGCAGCAGCGGGGCGGTGGAGCGGCGGCGGCGGCCGAGCAGGTGGTGGGCAGCGGGGAGGGCGCAGGGCTGCTGCGGCGGGGGCGGAGCCTGCTGGAAGGAGCGTGGTGGCTCAACGCGGTGGGCGTGACAGCAAGGGGTGTGGCCTGCCAGGGAGAGGCGGGGCAGTGCTGCTCTGTGGGAGGGGCCTAAAGGGGCGGGGCAAATCGTGTGGTTGGGCTGGGAGGGAAGGTAGGCATCTATGTGGGCAGGGCCTTGGTCGGAGGGGCGGCTCTATGGTCGGGCGGGGCAGATCTTGCCAGGACGGGCGAGGCGGAGCAGCCATGACGGGCGTGGTCACTAGGGGTGGGCGTGTTATACTCGGGAGGGGCGGGGCCGAGGTGTGGCTCTGTTGGTGGGCGTGGGGCGTGGCCTCTGGGAGACCACCCCACTCGTCAGTAGTCCTCCAGCTGTGGGTCAGCGTGGGGATAAATTTGGTCGTTAATCCTCTGTAGGTCAGCGTGGGGATAAATTGGAGAAGGTGTGACTCTCCGACCGGGGAGGCTCTGAGCTGGTGGCCTGGACAGTCCCTTTTTGGGGTATTCATACTCCAGCAAATCGTGGGGTCCCCCTGTTTGGGTGTGGCTGCACGATTCCCTCCTGGACCCCACCCTGCACCTGTGCCTCACCTGCAGGGTGTCCCCTCTCTTTCCATTTTGCCTGCCCCCAGCCAAGCCTACCCTTCCCTGTGTGGGCCACATGCCCTCCTGCTCAGTGGGCCAGTGCTCAGCTTCTGGTTCTGCTGGTTGCCAACCAGCTACTCCTGGTGTGACCAGGAGGGTGCCTGCTTGGATTCAGTGTCTCTGGGGAGGGCGCTACAGGAGAAGCCCTGGGCAAGGGGCCCCAGGAAGGACCGGAGAACTAGAGCTGAGATTGAAACCCGGGGCCAGCGACCATGTTCATTCTTGCCACTGTACTGCTCCTGCCCAGCATGCATGTGTGCCCTGATCCCACGTGGTACTGGGTGGGTGTGCAGGGGCTGCTCCTACCTGTGCTGCTAGTGAGGACCGAGGGCCAGCACACCCAGGGGTGACGTCACGTCTGTGCCTATGTGCCCTCAGCACCAGGAAGGGCCGGCCCCAGCAGGAGGCCCTGAGGAGAGGGCTGAAGACTGCTGTGCTGGGGACCTGCGCCCTGCTGGCTGCATTCCTGCTCTGGAGCCACATGGGGGGCGACGACGGTGTTACTGACGTCCTGGCCCACCGCGGTGAGGTCCTGCGGGGCAGGTTCATAGAGGTGCCCTGCTCCGAGGACTATGACAGCCACCGCAGGTTCGAAGGTACAGTGCTGGTAGTCCCCTACCCCAGAGAGGGACGGCCTGTAAGAGTGAGTGTGTGTGTGCTTGTGTGTTTCTGTGTGAATGTGAGGGTGTGCCTGTGTGTGAGTGTTTCTGTGTGCGTGTGTGTGCCTGTGAGTGTGTTTCTGTACTGCTTTGTTCCTGTGTGAATGGGTCTGCACACGTGTGTGCGTGTCTGTGCTCATATGTGTCCAAGTGCTCATATCTGTGTGTCTGTTTCCAAGCGCTCACGCGCCCATCTATGTGCCTGCATGGCTCTCTGCGTGTGTGTGTGAATACATTTGTGTGTCTGGGTTGACTGGTGGTGGCCTTTTTCTGCGTGGTTAGCCTACGTTCCTCACTGTCGCCGCTAGATGGCGCCCAGAGGCCCAGGCCTTGACAGTCCGGTAACTTGGAAGAGGGCAGCGCTGACCACCAGGCCGGATGACTGGCCGGGTTGTAGGTGTTCCAGGATACCGTCCCTAGAGGCCCCCAGGCCTGGGCCTGGCCACACTGCCAACTGTGCCCGCGGGGGACTGCATGCCCACTGAAGGTCCATAGGCAGCTCTCCAGGGTGCTGAAGTCTGCTACCTGGTGTGGAAGCTGCTCTGGGCCACGCGCACCAGAGGCCCCGGCCCTCCCCTACCCCGCTGCGCTGGCGCGGCCCCCATCTTTCCTTGCTTTAGGAGGAAGCGGCTGAGGTTTGTCTCCCGGCCGATCCGGCTGGGCCCCGAACGCAGAGCCACAGGGCAGCGCTGGGGTAGACCCAGTGGGGTCGGCAGCCCGGGCCATGAGGGTTTTCTCCGTGGTCTGGAAGGGGCTGGCGCCCACCTCTCTCCCTGTGAGGGTGGGAGTCTTCGGAGCGCGCGTGCGGGGTGCGGCAGCCTCGAATGTTGCAGGGCAGTGACCCAGACACCGCCCAGCCCGCTGCAGCCTGTGATGGTTCAGCCCTGCCACCTGGTGTCCAGCTGGTACCCACTCCCCACCCCACCCCCGTGCAGCCAGGGAAGTGGCCAGCGCTCCCAGAGTGACTGCCTCTGTGGGGGGTGCCACACCGGGCAGGGTTCTCCCTTGCACCTAGACTTCAGACAGAGCATGTGAAAGGAGGGTTTGCTGGTGGCCTGTGTGCTCAGCCCACAGCAGCTCTTGGACCATGGATGGGGTCTGCCCACCCTGGTGCTGCCCAGAACCCTCATGGGGAGGCCTCTGGGAGCTGGGCTCTGGGGGTGTCCCTCCAGCTTTGGGGCTGACCTGGCTCACCTGGCCTCCTCTCTCCCCAGGATGCACTCCCAGGAAGTGTGGCCGGGGTGTCTCGGACTTGGTCATCACCAGGGAGGAGGCGGCGAGGGTTCGCAGGTAACAAGACTCTGTTATTTTGTCATTTTTAAACGAAATTTCCTCCGTGTGTCTGGGGGCAGGGGGAGGGGGTATGTTGGGGAGTCTCGGTTTCCCGTAGTGGGACAGGCTGCTGCCCTGAGCGCTGGTTACAGAGAATGTTCTAGAGACCAGCCTCTCCCCATAAGCTCAGGGACCAAGCTTGCACCTCGTGGCTTACTGGGCTCCCTGAACCCGCATCGGTGCCAAGAGGTCCAGGCCCCACCAGCTGGCGAGGACTTTACCTGCAGCTCGCCTGACCCGCGTGACATGCTAGCCGAGGCGTGCCTGGACGCAGTTCGTGCCCTGACGTGGCTTCCTCTTTCTGCAGCATAGCCGAGAAGGGTTTGGCACTGGGAGGATCGGACGGCGGGGTGAGTGCGTCTGCTTCCAGGCGGCTTTTGTTGGGGGAGTGGGCACAGGGACCAGGCGCTGCTCCTTTGCCCCTCACTGCCCTTTCCCCAGCCGGGCCCTGGTGCCTAGCATCCTTTGGAGCTCCCTGGGAATGGGCGTGTCCCTCTGCGAAGGCTGTGTTCTGCCGCTAGGGACCAGCACAGTGCCTGCTCCAGGGATCGTTTGTATTCAGGACATTGGGATAGTGTTCCGGTGGGGTGTGTGTGGTTGTCTAGTGGTTGAAGTGGGGGAGGGTGGTCCAGTAGGCTGGGTGGTGGGGTGAACAGCACAGAGTACAATTGGAGGATACAATATGGGAGCCTCGGCCACAAAGAGCCCCCAAGCCTCAGGGACCCTCGGCCATATATAGGGACCTTCAGCCACAGGGCTGCAGGCCCCACAGTCGGGGGCAGGGAGAAGGCTGTACATCTGTGCTCCTGCCTCCAAGACCAGTCCTGGTGGCATCCTGCTGTGACCCTGAGGATGAGGGCCCTCAAGTAGGGTGGGAGCTGCGTGAAGCCATGCTCTCGTCCCTTTGCTCGGGGGCTGGCTTCTGAGCCGCGGCTCCCGCGAGAGCCCGAGTGGGGAGACCTCTGGGGAGAGGGGCGGTGGGCTTCCCCGGGGTATTTCAGACTCGCTCCATGGCTTGGTCTCTCCTCGCACCAACTTCTCCAGAGTCTGAAAGCCGGGCTCCCTCTTTTATTCCCACTCAGCTCACTCTGCAGGCAGGTGATCACCCCGGTGTGGGGCGGAGGGGCTGCCCTTTACCTTCACTTCCTTCAGGTCCTGGGCTGGCTCAGCCAAAGACACCCCTGGCCCAGTGAGCACAGTGGGTCCCAGGGCGTGTGCAGGGCACCAGCCACTAGTGCTTGGCGGAAAGGAGAGCTGAGCTTCACCTGCTGGTATGAGGAGGGAGCTGCCTGTAGACGGGTTGCTTCTTCCCCCATTGCCAGCTTCTCGCTGAACCCTGCCTCTGTCCTGTGAGATGGGACTTCTCTGCCCATTGTTTGCTATTGATTGTTTTATATTGCTTTTCAGTATTTCCTTGAGACTGCATGTGTTAAAACAGCGCCCCCATGGCCTGTCCTTAGGATGGCAGAAGTCCTCCCAGCCCAGTGGCCTGGGTTGTTCTATTTACATCGTCTCAGGACCATCGTAGCCATCGAGTTGTTTCTGACTCACAGTAGAATCGTCCCTGTGGGTTTCCGAAAGGACAACTCTTTAAGGGAGCAGACAACCTCATCTTTCTCCTGAGGTGCACCTGATGGTTTTGAACTGCTGACCTTGCAGTTAGCAGCCAAGCGTCTAAACCCACTGAGCCACAAGGGCCCCTAGATCAGCAGTTCTCAACCGGTGGGTCGCCTGATTCCTCAGAGTAGCAAAACGACAGTGATGAAGTAGCAACGAAAATCATTTTATTTTGGAAGTCACCACAACACGAGGAGCTGGATGAAAGGGTCAGAGCATTAGGAAGGTTGGGAACCACTGCCCTATATTTTATGAAAGACGTCCGTTACTTTTTTAAAGCTCACTTAGTTGATTGATTTTGTTTATTTTTCCTTCCTCCTTGAGCTGTGCATTTTAACGGGAAACACTGAAGTTTACTTAGTGAGTTACACATGTTGATGGGTACATTGTACTGTCGGTGTGTGGCGTTTACCCGCTCCTGGATGTAGACCTGAATGAGACCACACACCTGTGCTTTTTGTTCACAGTACGATTATGAAGAGAGGGCCCCAATATTCATAAATCAAAACCCAGCTGAGTGAAGGGTGGGCCGCCAGTGGGAAAGCTCAGCCTGCACACAGCTGCGCTCCCAGTACTGCCGTGGCACCACGTGTGTTGTGGTAGGGAAGCAGCTTAGCTCAGTCTCACCGACAGTAAGCTCTCAGGAAGCTGAAGCACACTCCTCTTTTACCATTCCTCTTCATTGTTCCGACACCTGGTTTCTGGTCTCCTGTCCCTGAATCAAGGGCGGGTAACCACTTGCAGGGGTACCGGCGATAAACAGGCTGTGGAGGGAGTGCAGTGACATAGTTTCGTATCCACAATCATACGGCGGTTATCGTTGTGTAGGCTTTAAACTTTTGCTTTCCCTGGAGGTAGGGTCCAGTTTCATTTTCCCGCCTGCTTTCCACACTGGGTCCTTCCCGCTGTGTCTTTGGGTGGGGTCAGCCTCCAGGCCCGTGCGGGTCTGCAGAGCCTCTCCCACCGGCCTCGGTACGTAGCGGCCTGCCTGGAAGCTTTAGCTCCGTGAGGCCTTTCCCCACATCATGTCCTTTTGTCCAGAAGGCTTTGGCCTTCTAGGCTCTTTGCTCTTTTGTGTGAAATTCAGAATGAGCTGTGAGCCCCACAGAGCACTCCGTTAGCATCTGATTGGGATTGTACCCCTGCTGTTGGCCAGCCTTGGAGACACGCACAATCACAGCCGGACCCTCCTTTCGGATCGGAGTGGACTTGGTGGTGGTGAGCAGTCATGTGACCCAGCTTCTCCCGTCCAGGGTGCTGGGAGACGTGTGACACAGAAGGGCCTTATCAGGACACAGGCCTCCCCTTATCGCCTGTTTGCGCTGAGCTTGTATCATGATGCACATGGAAGGGGGGCTAAGGCTGCAGGAAAGGGCAGAGGCCCGTCCGTGGGTGGTGGCAGGGAGCTGACTTGTGGTGTGGCAGGTGACAGAGGCCCATCCGTGGATAGTAGCAGGGCAGTGGCAGGGACCAGGCTGCTACCAAGCTGCTGCTGCCTACCTCCCGGTGCTTCTCTTTCAGGCCTCCATTCTGGACCTGCACTCTGGGGCTCTGTCTGTGGGGAAGCACTTCGTGAACCTGTACAGGTGAGAGCTGGGCTGCTTGTCCCCACACCTGCCACAGGTGGGTTCCACACAAACTGCCCCAACAGGAGGGAGAGCTGAGTCCTGGGCTGGGAGCCTCTGTGGAGCCTGCTCACACCCACAAGGGAAACAGGAGCCTGCAGGGGTGGGTAGGTGGGGGTCTGTCAATCTCACCAGGTACCGCTGACCGTCAGGGGTAGAGTGGGGTGGCAGGGTTGTCCCCAAGCTGTCAGCCACCTGTCTCCTTTCCTCACCTGTCTCCTTTCCTCCTTCCTCACCCTGGCCCCTACCTTCCTTCCATTTTTATAAGGTGGAAATGAAGTAGCTTTCAGATAAAAAGAATAAGCTGATTTTCAGGGGTTTACGTGGCTAACTAGAGGAAAGACTAGATTCAGGGCAAGTAAGGAAAAGTGACTGAAGTGATTTTTGTTCAGACTTTTACTTTTTCACAGGTACTTTGGGGATAGAATACAAACAGTCTTCTCGGAAGAGGACTTCCAGCTGTACCGGTGAGAGGCTTGGCTGACTTGGCTGGAGTGGGTGGGCAGCTGGGGTATCAGGGACCCCCTCAGCCACGTGCACTCTTGCCGGCCAGACCCCTTGAGTTCATGAACCTGTGGTGACGAGGCTGAACCTCCGTCCAGTAAGGTCTGAGGCCACGCCTGGTGTCCGGGCTTCAAACTGATGGCCCCTCCTGTGGCCTTCAGGACAGGAGGGCGTGCTCCCAGTGAGGCAGCCCCTTCCTTGAATATGGCCGTTAAAGTACCTGGCTGGAGGGCCCTGTCGTTGGGGTCCTGGTGCTGGGCCAAGCAGAGCTGTGCCCCAGGCATGGGCAGCCCTGGCCCAAGCAGGCTCACCCACAGAGCTCCCACGGCTGAGCTGTGGTCCAAGCATGAGGCTGAGACCCCAACTCGGTGGGAGCAACGGTGCAGGGAAGGTTTGCCCTACACCCCCGGCCAGCTCCCCAAAGCAACCACACTAATGCCACTTAGGGAGTGGGCACTGATGCCCAGCTCTCCCCAGCTCCGCTGTGAGTTGTGTGCCTGGACCCTATGTGTCTCTGTCCGTGAGTGTTTCCGTGTGTCTGTGTGTGTGCATTTCTGTGTGGGCATGTGCGTCTGTGTGCACCTTTGTCTTATGTGAAATGTGGGTATATCTCTGTGTTTGTGTTGACTAGAGAAATTCATAAGACACTCATGTGTATAAGAAAGAGCAATTGTACATTAAGAAAACACCCCAGTCCAGTCCAGATCAAGTCCATAAGTCCGATCTTAGTCCTTATATCCCATACCAGTCTATAAATTCCTCTTCAGACTCAGGCAACACATGCAATGACACCGAATGCAGGAAGATCAAAGGCTGTGGGTCGAAAATCTTGTGGAGCCAGTGGCCGGGGAAGCATCTCAGCGCTGGTGTGGGTCTCCACGGGACTCCTCCAGCTCCAGAGCGCTGCTCCATCAGCGTAGCTCCATGGTCATCAAGCTGCGACCCGATTGACTGCCTAGACTCCACCCCTCCTCCACGTTGACAGTAGATGATGTAACTGCCAGTGTCTGTGTGTGCGTGTGCGTGAGGGTACCGTGTGTGTGACTGGATGTGTTTCTCTGTGTCTGAGTGTGTCTCTGTGTGTCTGAGTATCTGCGTTAGTGTCTCTGCATTTGAGGATGTGTCTCTGTGTGAGTGATTGTGGATCAGTTTGTCTGTGCATGAGTGACTGTGTCTGAGGGTGTGTGTATGAGTGGTTGTGTGTGTGTTGGGGGATATCTGTGTGTGAGTGACTGTGCTCCTGAGTGTATGTGTGAGCGTGTGTGAAGTTCTATGTCATTTTGTTCCCTGTGTACGGTCCTAGACTTGCCAGTCAAACACAGACCACACCCTCCTCACAGGGCCCTGGTGTTGCCTGTTATACCCCCTCACCCGCCCTCCCCACCTGGTCCTACCCTAACTTCCTGGGTCATTTTAACCTTAAACCTTGTTGCCTGGA